TAAAAGGGGTAATTTGTTTTCCGATATATTTATTAGAATAAAAAAAAGCGGCAACTCAGTAACATTGATTCTTTTGATTACCAGTTTTAACTGGTAAAAATTAAAATCGATTGTGAGTTGTCTTCGATGGGGCAAATACAAACAAAAAATGACTTACACGCAAAAAAATAGAGATGAAAGAAGTACTAAAGAAAACTTCAAAACATTTATGGATTTGGAGTTCCTGTGCTGTTAAGGCCGCGCTTGGAGCTTCTAAAGAAGATTGAAAACTAATTATAAACAATAATCACTTTGTTCAGCGGCTGACTACATTAGAACCAAAATGGCGGCTAACTGCATTCGTGAAGTATAAAATTTCAATATTTTCATTCACTTTTTTGTTGAATTTGATTTTTATATAGAACATCAAATGAGGCTTCTCAAGCCTAACTGGGTTTCTCACGATGGTAAGGTTGTATTTGTAGTRCGAGAATGTGTTTCTGTGTTATAAAATGGAAAATGTGCACGAAAGGCAAAATGATAATGTGATAAGATTAGCTTTAAGTTGATGGGARTTAATTCAGGATATAACTTAAAACTACTTTGTGAAGTTTRGTACTCGGTATGAGAACTGCACTTGARCGTCTCTGTGCTTTTGTTAGGCATCTGTGCTTGGATTCCCATGTATTCAAGAATATATGTCAAGTTTCAATTTGATTTTATCATGTAAGTTCTTCTACACCCAGTATTCAATTTCTTTCCAATTTCTGTGTAGGGAGACCTATATTTTCAGTTGATATTCACCCAGACGGGTCAAGGTTTGCTACTGGGGGTCAAGGTAATGAATGATCTTCCTTTTGTGATATTCCTTCTARAAACAAACTTATAAATGAGAGACTTGTAAAACAATGCAATATAGTAGTGTCATTTGTACATGAGTTGTGTGAATAGTTGTCTTCAAACGTGAAAATGCATATGGAGAGGTCAGTAGTTATAAAATAATAAAGTTTTTATAGATGATAAAAGGATTGTAAAATTACCGAAGTTTTTGGTTGTTGGTCTTTTTTTGGCGTGATTTGTACCTTTTCMCATTGCTACTGTATACAGTAACATTTGCAGCAGTCTCCTCATCACAGCCATGTTTAGTTTTAGTTCATTTATGCATAATGGTCTTATTTCTATCAGGTGATGATTGTGGTAAAGTTGCAATATGGAATATGGGTCCATTGAAAGTTGAAGAGGAGGAATTGAATCATGAAATTCCTAGGCTTCTGTGTCAAATGGATAACCATTTAGGTAGATTAGTTGTAGTATGATTACCTGCAACCAATTGTTGTATTATATGTAATGTTTACAACATGAGCGGCATTCGCCTTTGCCTTCGGCTCGAGATTGTAAAATCCCATACAACACGGACACAAATGTTGTAAATTACTTTTGAAACGTTTAGTTGTATACATTCATAATCTACTAAAAAATTAAAGATAAAATTGAATTTGGCTGAGAAAATTGGATTTGAAGTTTATGCAAATCAAGACAGTTTTGTATGAAATATTACAACACTCTTCAAGGTTGTGATTTCTATTGTGTTTTCCTCATTAATTATTCATGAGTTTTACAATGTGTATTATTGTATTATTTCTTATTTGTACAAAAGCATATTTGGATATATGCTGATATACTACATATCCTTTTTTATTCTTCATCAATAAATTTTTCAGTTTTATAATTTCTAGATGATATTTAATAATGTTTATACTATATATGCTACATAACGTTTTTAACCAGCTTGTGTAAATTGTGTACGTTGGTCTAACAATGGTAAATACCTTGCATCTGGTGGAGATGATAACTTGGTTATGATATGGCAAATGGCAAGGTATACTGCACCCATGACAACCTTTGGTGGCGGAGGAGGAAAGCTAAACATTGAACAGTGGCGATGTGTACACAACTTGAAGCAACATGATGGAGGTATGTGCAGTTCAGTTAATTATATTTTAATTAATGACTTACTCAAATATTGTAGCTAATAATTTGCTATAGCTATAGATCATAAGAAAGCAATGATGGTAAATTGCAAGTGTTGATTCACTCATACTTTGACATAATCAGAAAAGGAACTTGTCACWAACCTGATCATGGTTTTGCCACTTCACTTGTAGAAATTAAATATGCTACTTGGTTAATCTGTTGAGGGTATATTTTGAGCAAYATGCATAAATGGTAATTGATTTGTTTTCAGATGTTCTGGACTTGTCTTGGTCACCAGATGATTCATTTCTTGCCTCTGCAAGTGTTGATAATACAATTTCAATCTGGAATGCACAAAGATTTCCAGGTAAATGTTTAAGCAATCAAAAGAGTGACAAATTCTATTTCCAGTCAGTGTTCAGCAAAATATGAATAATCAGTCAGATGATGGTTTTAACTAAAATATTTTTAAATCCATCAGAGGTCATACAGGTTCTCAAGGGTCACACTGGTCTTGTGAAGGGTGTGACTTGGGATCCTGTTGGTAAATATCTAGCATCTCAGGCTGATGATAAAACCTTGAAAGTCTGGCGCACAAGTGACTGGCAACAAGAGGCATCAGTTACTGAGCCCTTCCTGGAATGTAGTGGTACCACTCACGTGCTACGATTAAGTTGGTCTCCTGATGGTCATTATGTAGTGTCAGCACATGCTATGAATAATTCTGGTCCTGTTGCTAAGATACTAGAGAGGGATGGATGGAAAACAAGGATGGATTTCGTAGGGCACAGGAAGGCAATAACCTGTGTTGTAAGTTTGAGTTTGTATACATTTAATTTTCTTAATATATACATAATGTAGATTGTGAGAATATTTTTATAAATTCATTTCTTTTTAAAAGTCAATGTTAATGTTTTGTTTAACAAATATTAAAATATATTCACAGTCAAATAAGTAATGATATTGGTCTGTTTATTGTGTATATTTGTTGTTGTTGACTTTCTAATAGATATTTATTTTACCAATAGCGATTCAATCCCAAACTGTTTGTCAAGAAAGTGAATGGTGACTCATCAAGGCTAAAGGTACATGTACATGTTTTTATTTAATTGTTATGATCATAGTTAATAACCACATTCATTTTTAGCCCATTCCTTTCTACTTTTTTTCTCAAATTTTCTTTAATACTTAATGTTCTTCTTTCTTTTTTTCTGATTTCAGCAATATTCATGTTGTGCAATTGGATGTCGTGACCGTTCTTTATCTATTTGGGTAAGAATATTTGAACTGATTTTATTTTTTTTGGCCCAGTATCCTAGTCATTTGTGTGCTGTGATTGGCTAGTGCGGTCCGGTTTTTCAAGATGTACCCGGTACGACGGTATGCTGCAGCTAGACTGCGAGCAAAGTTGCTTAAAATACAAATAAAAAAATAAAAATGTTATTTACCAGCTTTGGTCCTTCCTTATAAAAAAACACTGTCCTCGGTCTTCTATGAACGGACCTCGTAGCTCATTAGCTCATTCGCTACTGTCAAGACCTCGGGCAGTGTTGTCCTATATGGACCTCCCAGCCAGTAAATAACATACATGTATGAATAAACTAGCCAGCAGTAAACAACTTCGTTGCAATAGATTTTTATTTCTTATATATTATCTCCACCTTTTCCTTTTTTTCCTTTTCCCTTTTATCTTTTGTTTGATATATTCTCTTTGGAATGGCTACWAACCAAAAATAATAAAACCTCAGATGATGTTTATATAACTGGTGTTTGTTCTATGTATTCTGATTATTCTTTTAWAGTGCATATGAACCAAGAGTCGATTAAAAGTGTTTTCATGAACGCCAACTGGGAATAYGGTTATTCCCTACATTGCATACMATAAATKTAATGTCATGAAACCATTTTTAAGTGACTCCTTCAAAGTTTGTATATCTTATGAAACCTTMTTTGACATCACTTCATTAGCATTTTCAATTTTAAAATGCCTTTAACTCAGAAAATAAAATTCAAAAAACTTTTTCTTCTWCAAAACAATGATTAGCATCATATTTGCCTGTTGTTAAAAATGATTTTCTAAAATGGTTCATATGCACTTTAGATATGTTTTACTCTATGTTTCAGCTAACATCCTTAAAGAGACCTCTGGTTGTCGTTCATGATCTGTTCAATCATTCTGTTATGGATATGTCTTGGTAATAATATTGTTATTGATTCATTATTATCAAGTGAAGGAAAAATAATATATCATTTTGAAGTATAGCTRTATGTAATCTTGTAATAATTTATTATTTCATTTGTTTTTATTGCAGGAGTCAGACAGGCTTTGAATTGTTAGTGTGTTCTTGGGATGGGACAGTGGCTTATGCAGACTTTTCATCTGAGGAATTAGGAAAAGCTATGTCACAACAAGAAAAGGTCAATAATCATGTATTTACTATGAAAATGGTTAGGAGTAAAACAAAATAATATGAAGGATAAAGAAAAAAAGAGGCTTATGAGACTGACACATAATGGTGTGTGGTCTCATTGCTAGAATGGTGAACACAAGGGTCTACCACATGCATATACTCATATACTTATTACATTGAAAGTTACAGCTGTTTGCAATAATTCTGACCCCCTCTGCCATATTTCATATATATCAAACTGACCTTTAATATTATGGGATATCATGACTGATATATTTTTTGAGTTGTCCAGAATGAGTACTTTCTAAAAAAAATATCGGCAATGGTATCCCATAATTTCTAAGGCTATTTTGATATGTATGAATATTAGTGTAGGGGGGTCAGAATTATTGCAAACAGCTGTATTTATTATAAGTAGCAATGATTTAGCTAGTGATAAAAACACTTGGCAAGTAATACTGTTTATCACATGAGACATATTTGTCCCAACTCACACTCTTAGAACCTATGGGGCAATCAGGGCTGGATATGCATTTAATGAGTAAAGTTGACCATAAGAGAAAATGGTGGAAACTAGTGGTAAACTAGTGTGAGCTGTGTCGGTGTTTCTAAAGAAACAGTTGTGCGAAAAGATGAATTTAACACTGTTAAAAAAATAGGTGAAACAACTTACTGACGTTTCAGACGTTAATCCCTCAGGCAAAGAAAAAGTTTCAAAGGAGAAAATATTTGGCTCTCCCTAATTTATACTGTCCGAGCACATCTAGCATGACATTGAGCTATGTATTTTCCCATATGAACCTCCGACTCAATCAATAAGTTCATTTGTGTAACATGTAGTATTAGTGGTACTCAGAGTTCCCTTATAACCATAAACCTTTCCATTCATGTAAATTAATGATTTGAAACTGTTGCCATGCAGGAAAAGTTCCACAAGCAAGTGTATGGAATCAGCATCAGCAGTAATAAAACAAAGTTTGCATCATCTATCATAGAAAACCCAGAAATGTTGAAAATACAGCAGCGGCATTTAATGAAACAACAAACTGAAGCAAATATACCAAAACCGTCTATACCCCCTCCCCCACTGGTTCCATCGGGAGCCACCTCTGGTACTCCTACAAAACAAGAAAATTCACAGCTTTCAAATGGTATGCAACAACAATATTCTAAACAATGAGTTCTCACCTACACTATTGTTCAAAGTGCTCACAAATCTCAACATGTTATAATTTCTAACAATGATTAATCTTTACTGCAATAAAATGTTTTAATTTTTTACTTGGACAATTTACTTTTAAGTTATGATACTCTCCAACTAATTTTTAAATTTCTTGTGCTAATCACTTCCATCTGTCCAAGAAACAATATTTAAAGCATCTCACAAACATGGAATGYTTACTGTAATCACCTTATTATTTTGTTAGTATATTTGTATATCCTTTGAGGGTAAAAGTATTTATTATTTGTCCCAGGTATCTCAAGTGTYTCAAGAGCAATTTTCTCAAGTCCAAGCTCAAGTAGTAATACAAGTGTAAAAGAACAGCAAAAAGAAACTCGAACCAAAGATGGCAGAAGAAGAATAACACCAGTGTTAGTAGCTCAAATGGATGTCAAGTAAGTACACCCTCCCCTCCCCACAACATTTCCTAGTTGTAACACTGATTTCTTTATTTATTTGCAGTGATACACCATTACCTTTTGGGAGTAGTTGTACTGCACAACCCCCACCAGCACCTSCAACATCATCTACTATTAACTCATCAGATTTCTCTAAAATACCAACATCACAGGTACAGGAGTCAATAATACATTCTAACTGAAAAGACTGTAGTGACTGCAAATAAATACCAACATACCTGTTCTTCTAATTTTGTTTAGAGTCTGTCAGCACTGCATTCAAGGATTGGTGAGCAAGCCATGACAGGTTTTAAAGAAAGGTAATCAAAGCCTGGTTCACAAAGGATGACATAAATAATTTGACATTTCTAGTGTGAACATAATGAAACAAGACCAACATAATGCATAAACATAACAACATAAGAAACCAAATGTTTTACAGTATATGACCAATCTGCATTTGATATTATGCAAACTGACAGTTAAATCCATATAAATGCTATCAATCTGATAGAAGTGATTTCAAGAAGGTTGTATTTTATCAATCATTTTTGCCTCTATAGCTCTAAAGATAATCTTATAACTACCAAGGCTCCTATACCAGTTGTCAAGGCAACATCAATCACATCAAAATCTCCTGCAAAGTCATTGTCATTGAGTCGTCAATCTTCTCCTTCCAAACAAGCATCATCTACAACATCTTCTAGCACATTGATGGTAAAGAGAAAAAATGATACTCCGACGGGAGCATCAAAGAGACCTCGGAAAGACAAAGAACAAGGTGAAAAAAACATGATAATAATAATATGATAATAATATAATATTAATATAATAATTCAAGAGATTTTTGATCTAATTAATACCATCAATGATAAAGAATAATGAACATCAGTGAAAATCTGATAAATCAGTGTACTAGACTTGACATTTTGACATAGTGYTGCTTGAATTTTGCTGGAAATTACCTTTAAGTTTACCAATAAACAGCTTTGTGTTTAGCACTTTAATTGCATTTTTTTTATTTACAATTTGTATTTCACCATTATTTTCAGCTTCAAGAAGTGTTTCTGCCTCAGTAAGTTTTCAAGAAGTTTCTAAGAATTTCTAAGAGTTTCTAAATGCCTCCCATTCATTTTCTTATTTGATATCTGTCTATTTGATATCCTCTCTCCCTCCCTTCTGTCCTTCCTCTCAGTCAATTTTACTTCAATTTCTCATTTTCAGTCTCGGCAAAAAGAAGATCGTTCAGAACATGATGAATCTGTAACAGCAATTGTAGCAACACGTCACACAGTGTGCATCCCATCTCCTTCACCTGAAAAAACACTTACAGTACAGGTAATATATATAACAACTTACAGTAATAGTGCTCATATTATTAAATAGTTCCATTCCTAATTATGATTAGTTCATTATTTCTTCATTTACAAGTGGACATCTTATCAARTTTATCTTRTGGATGAACAACAATTTTGATGGTTCAATTACACCAACTGTGGTAAATACGAGGACATACCATGAGAAACTATTATTATAAATTTGTTTTTACTCGTGGCATGTACTTTTATTTACCACGGCTCTTGACCARTCAGAAATCGAATTGTTTAAATTGTTTATTAGATTTATTATTCCTTTATYAATTCATTTGGTTATAGATTGGTGGTGGTGATGGTAGTGTTACTTTGGAATTGGAAAATAATCTTAGCTCTTCTGGTATGCAYCATTTTGTGTTGTCATCATAATATATATTCTTGTGGCAGATCTGGTCATGCTCATTCTTTAACCAAATCACTAATATTATTTAGTTTTTTTTAATGGATAATTATTTCATATATCAATTAGATTATTCTTAATGACCTTGCAGTTAATGCTGTAAATGTTTTAAAATGTACATCTGGTGGTCACATGTCTTGGGAAGCCATGGTAACAAGCCCTGGAATAGCCCTAGCAGGAAATAGGTAAAACACCATGTCATTACTATTTCACTTGATGCAGAAACTCTCCCATAACACCACTGTTTGTATGAATCACTACTGATAAATATAGCTGCTTTGATCTTCATATTTTTCATTTTTTCTAAAGAAGACAAGACCTTTGTTTATCTGTTTTAATTGTTCTTGTTAACAGTATTGTTTTTGATGTTAGGAACATYGTTTGTGTTGCTTGCCTTAACAAAACCTTGAATGTGTTTTCATTTGGTGGTACCAGGTRAGTTATTGTTAAAGTTTCAAACAAAAACAAAATTTGAAAAACAACAAAATACACYTCATTCATCAATATTGAAAAAGGGGCTTGATTTATTGGGAATACAGTTACTTCCTGATCAARCATTGTCCTGTTTTTGTTTGGAACTGTACTCAAAGCTGGCTTTTAACTAACAAAACTGTGCTATTGTTTGGTTATTTAACTAGAGGTATTTGCTAATTGCAATTCTTGTTATTTGAGATTGATGCCTGCTTTAGTACTTGATGGTACTGCTTCAATGTTACTATGTAACGGCTATTACGTCATGGTTGTTACGTCATCGGGGAGTGTCTACGTATGGTATGCATTTCACATAATTTT